TGCTGAAAGGATGACATTACATATTATAATCTTAGAGAATTTTTATAAACTCTCTAAATGTATTTTATAAATATTATAAAATGATGTACTGTTGGATATGACACAAGAGAAATTGTTCAAAATGTGTAAAGGCACTTTATATGTTAGAATATGTTCTGATTTATGTTGGAAATGTGAGCAACAAAAAGGGACATTTTATCATACTTGGTGGATGTGTAAAGCAGTTACAAAATTTTGGATTCAAATAAATACACTGATTTAGAGGATTTTAAAATGTAATATACAATTGAGACCAGAGGCTTTCCCTTAGGACTGATGGACAAACAATTAGAAAAATGCTAGGGAATTTTTTTTGTATATGACAAATGCAGCAAGAGCTAGAAAGATCAGGCAATATCTACAATGGAGGAAAGATTGGTAAATGTTAGAACTCACTGAGGTGGCCAAATTGAGTTTTATTATTAAAAAAAAGACTATGTTTATTGCTGACTGGAAACTCCCTATGGACTTTATGTGAAAAACAGAAAAACTTATGATTTGTGGTTTTGATGAATAGGCAGAATATATTATAGAAAGAAGAGAATAATGATTTAACTTGAGAGAAAGAAGTAAATTTAGAATTATACTTATAATGCTATAAAGAAGATCGGAAGCCATTACTTTGTATTTTTTTTCAACATTTCTTTTTTTCTTTCTTGCACTTTTAGCTTTCCCTTTGATTTTTTCCTCTTCTCTTTGATTTATATTAGTTTTTGTCTGTTTTTAAAACTCCCAATAAAATTATAAAAAATATTTTAAAAAATTCAACATCTTTTAGAGAATGCAAACCTATGATGGTATTACAAACAGAGAAATAAATTGCCAGAGGACATTTTTTTTTAAATTTCAGATATGGTTTTATTACAATAAAAACAAAAATTGGCTTAGATTTTGGTATAAAAGATATGTAATAGTATGTAATCTACAGCCTCAGGTCTCCAGGTCATTACTGAGCAAGTTTAGTTGCTAATACTGTAACCATATACTGTATGTGCCTGCTCAAGAGTGTATTCAGTGGAGTTTGACCTTCATTAAATATAGATGGTATTGTAGTATAATTTTTCCTTAAGTGAAAGTCATCTTAGCATAACTCATATATACAGTATTGTTTTTAATGACAAGATCAATAACTAGCAGAATTATTTTAAAATACTGTGGGTTTAACTAGATCGCATGATGTGATTACAGATAGTCCTTGACTTACAACCATTCGTTTAATGACTGTTCAACGTTATAATGGTACTGAAAAAAGTGACTTATGACCATTTTTCACACTTACAACTATTGCAGCATCCTCTGGTCATGTAATCAAAATTTGAGGGCTTGGCAAATGGTATGTATTTATGAGAGTTGCCCCGTCCCGGGGTCAAGTGATCACCATTTGTAATCTTCCCAGCTGGTTTCCGACAAGCAAAGTCAATGAGGGAAGCCAGCTTCAATTAGTGATCAAATGATTTACTAAACTCTGGTTTAAAAGGTTGCAAAATGGGGCAAAACTCATTTAATGTCTGCCTTGCGTAGCAACAGAAATTTTGGGCTCAACTGTGGTAATAAATCAAGCACTACCTGTACAGATTTCTATTGAAATATTTTATCTGGCAAAGGTTTTCTAAAAAGAGTGGCTGCATAGCTTAAACCAGTGTTTTGCCTTAGTCTGGTTAATAAACTGGGATTTCAGAAGAGACGCAGTGGCTCAGTGGCTTAATGACGTCACTCGCCTCAGCTTCTGTCCACCTAACAATTTGAAAGCATGTTCTATGTGAGTAGACAAATACCAGGTTTTCTCCAAAATAAGACCCACTCAGAAAATAAGCCCTAGCCTGATTTTTTGGGGTGGGCCTAATATAAGCTCTACTCCAAAAATAAGCCTGGGTGGGTGGGCATGGTCAGCACAGGAGACTGTGAGTGTGTGGGGGCTGATGGTGTCCAGCAGCAGCTGCAGCCCACCAGCTCTTTGGCGCTGCACAGGTAAGACCGAGTGTGGAGGCAGAGGCAGGGGGGATGGCAGGTGATCCGGATGCTCTGCGCACTTTTCACCCAGAGGGAGACTGGAAGCTTCATCTGTTTACAAATGGTGCACTTGGAAACGGAGCGATTCTCTCCGTTTCCAAGCGCCCCATTTGCAAGAAGACAAAGTTTCCGGTCTCTGTCATTCCTCCATTTGGACGAAAAGTGTTTGGGTGCCTATGGGGCACTTGGAAACGGAGCGATCACTCAGTTTCCAAGTGCCCAATAGGCACCCAAACACTTTTCGTCCAGAAGGAAACTGGAAGCTTCGTCTGCTTGCAAATGGGGGGCCGCTACCTCCCAAGCTCCACCTTCGCCCCCTGCCCAGAATTTTCATGTGCGGTGGCTAGCTTGGGAGGCAGCAGCGGGGCGGGGCATGGCCCAGCAGCAGTAGTAGTAATAATAATGGCAGAATCTCCCAGGGATGGCGCTAGCTGCACGTTCTTTAATCATAAGCACCCAGACCGGAGGCTCGGGCTGGTAAGGAGGCGAAGGCTCCAGGGTGGGATGGTGGCCGCAACGGGGCAGGCCAGGTGACGAGTGGAGTGCTCCGCTGCCACCACTGCTTCCCCCTCAGAGCTGCGTGAGGCAGCTCCGAGGCAGCACACGTCTCCTTTAAGCCTGTCTGGGCACTTAGGGTTCAATAGCACGCAGCTGGCACCGGCCAGGCTGTCCCGGGGGAATTCTGCTGTTCCTCATGGCAGTGGCAGCGGCGCGCCTTGTGGTCTCCTGCCCCGTTGTAGCCATGAGCAACCAGACGATGGGACGGAGTGGGCGGGTGGCTGCAAAATAAGACATCCCCCAAAATAAGCCATAATGTGTCTTTTGGTTTAAAAAATATGTAAGACTGGGAAACACAGTAGGTACCACTTTGGTGAGATGAGTTGGTGCTCTGTTCAGGCAATCAAATTCCTGATGGCTCTGAACCTTCCCGGTTGCAGCGCCCATTTACAAGGCGACTCTGGGGAAGGGAGAAGTTCTTGGATGACACTGCAGGAAGAGCTGTGTCAACGCTGCTAACATTAGATGTTCTTGCTTTGACAACATATGGAGATGCAGCCTTTTTCTTTCTTATACTTTACTCTTAGAATTAGATGATGCTGGGGGAGGGGGAGGAATGTGATGGGAGTTAGTTAGACATACAATATTGTAATAAGAGCTGATAAGGCATGGCGGATAAAGAACTGGGCAGAAAGCCAGCATTTCAAACTAATTGGAGAATGTGATTTATGACTATTAGCTGTAGGAGGGAATTGTGCTTTGATCTATGTGCTGTAGGGAGGGGAAGTCAGATTTTAGCTTGGACTACGTACGTGCCGAAGCTATGCTGCTCGAATAAAGGTTCTTTAAGGTAAACAATGCCTCAAAGTTCTTTGAAGAGTTTCATCTTTCGGAACCATGACAAGCTGCTTGTCTTTCTTTCTGGTGCAAAGCAAGCTCGCCCTGTTGTGGCGCACCTTGGGAAACATGCAAGTATATCCTACAACAGAGCTGGTAAATTCTACTACTCTGCAATAACATTATGGTCTCTTGATTAATGTAACAATGCCAAACAACAACAATAACAATAACACTAAGATTTCAGAGCCATAAAATGTACAATCCATCCTGAAAACTAAGCCTCAACAGGTAATATTTTTAAAAAGGAAACAAAAAACAGTTCTAAATCAAATACATAATGTAAAACTAACTTTGAATGTGACATTCGATTACTGCATGTAAACTGGTGATTGAATCCCCTTTGTATAAGGAATCTCAATTCCTTTTAGAAATTAGTGCAATATGTATATGGTGGTACCCATCTAAATATGTAGGCAGCATGTAAAACGAGATTAGATTATTCATGCTCTATATCAAAGATTTGACAGAGGAAGTTTTTCTTGATGAATTACAACCAAATCTAGTTATTTTTCACCTTGCACAATAAAATTACAACCAAATCTAGTTATTTTTCACCTTGCACAACAAAAGCAACTGTACTCATCTGAGGTAATGCAAAATGGTGTGATTATGTCTATATTACAACTACATTAGAGGCATTATGATAGTTTTTGCCAAATTCTTAAAAAAGAATAGGTGAGTGGTTTAGTTAACTATATATTAACAGTCAATGTAAACAGAAACATTCTTTCTATAGATTCAATCTGGGTGTACATTGGAGGGTGGGTAGAAGCTAAGAAAAAAGATAATGGGAAGGCTTATTCTTTATCTTCCTCAGCCCCTGCCAAAATCTGGAAGGAACTAGGCTGAGAAGGGCTAACCTATGCTGTGTGCATGAGACGAAAAATTTTTTTTAGAAAAAATCCCAGAAAAAAGTTCTAAACAGTCAGCAATTGGAAAGCATGATGCCTATCTGAACTGACTTCTTAAAGCAGACATGTCAAACTCACGATGTCATGTGACGTCGTGCGACGTATCGGAGCTTTTTCTCCATTGTCGGTACAGAAAAAAATAGAGTATTAAAGCTCTTTGTAATTATCTTATAGCTATTTTGTTCAGTATAATACCTCAATTTCACCAAAAATGAAACTAAAAACAGAAAGCAATAAGTACCTAATTGTTTTGATTCTGCACTTATATCACACGAAGACCTTTAAAATAAGACTGACGATAACTCCTCTTTGTAAACATATATACATGATCAAGATTCTATGTTTCATAAATTATGACTCTACCTTTCCTGCCCTCCACACACAGGTTTGGTACTTGCCAAATTCACTTCCTTCAAAATTCACATCGTGCTAGAATTTTACCTGAGTTAACCAAGAAACCGTGTCGAGATGCTACTGAGGACAAAGGAGTGAGTGAAGTATTATGAGGGTTAGTAAAAAAGTAGTTTCTTTTTCTAAATTATGGTATCATGTTCCCTTTTCTACAGTTCAAATATGGATAGAACAAGTTGCTATAAGCTTTAGTTTGCAGCAGATGCATTCAAACATGTTCTCCAGATATAACTTTGAAAATTTAAGACATATGTTTATAGAAATAACAATGAAAATGGTTCCACATTTTTCAAGAAAAATTAGACCGTGGTCACATTCAGCATTTTGAGAAGATAACAAGAGAGACACATTCATTTTACAAAAAATACTACTCAAATGTACTCAACATGTACATTCCAACATATTCATTTGTTGAAATTGGCACTTGGAACCCCTGCATAGAAATGGAAGCAAAAATCAAAATGGCGTTTCAAATCCAGACTTCATCTAGAGTCTATGAAGAAAAATTTCGTTGTATCAATTAAGCTTGTTAATAATGGGAGATTTCTTTGGCAACAATTTCATCAAATTAAAAGCCTTGGATTTTTTAAAGTCAATGTTAATGCATATAATGTTTCCTCTCCTCTAACTGGAAATAAGACTTAAACATTGGCTCCTCTCTGACATGGAATTATACCCCCCATTAATCATAATTTAGAACTGTATTGGCATTTAAATGTTTAAAATTAGTCAATATTCAACATTAAAGCAGTATTCAAAATTCAGTTTTAAATGGGAATAAAATAAAATGTTAGAGTGTTGTGGAGGTATTAGATATATTCACTGCCTTGAGTTATTTATAAAAACAAAGGTGGGATATAAATAAAAATAATAAAAATCTGGCTAATAATAATTTTAAGATAATGTAAGTCTTCATAATAACAACACTGCCATAGAGAATTCAGACCAGAAATGGTCTGGTCTGGTCTGCAACGTCTTTTTTTAAAAAATATTATATTTATTAACGTACAACAAAACTTCCAATCTCTGCAGGCATTTGCTAAAAAGCAAGACCTAAATAATTTATTTCATGGATGCTTAAGGGGTTAAGCACATTCCACATATAGCTCAACTCTCAATAACTATATTTTTGGAGATTAAATGTTGTACTATGTATAGCACCCTTTACAATCCAAGCACTTAAATGCCTATTCTCATTTTTTTAATATATAGTAAAGACACTATTCTGCATATGTCTAAGGAGACAGTGCATGTTCTTCAAAGGTTAGTATATTTCCAGTTGGGATATGAAATGAAATAGTGTAAGCAGGATGGAGAACTTATAGTTATGATATTCCATTAGTCCAAACCAGGACTACAAATAACAAGGAAAGCTGGAAGTTACAGTTCACATCATATGGAAGGTTATAGTTTTTCCAGCGTTGTAGATTTGTTAAGTCATTTTCTCTTTCTTCAAGAGAAAATGCATGGCTTTAAACAAGGCAGTTCATAATGTTTTAGGACCACTTTGAAATGTAACTTGAGAAGACTTGTAGTCTGAAATTACATGTGCTTATTGAGAAGGCCTACAATGTTTAATGAGGTTTACTCTATAAGATGTTTATATACTTTTCATATAAACTATGGTTATATGATATAACCATATATCTCTGGTCCCCATGTCATTTCAAGTATATTTTCTATAAAATTCAGTTTTAGATTTTGGCTAGAGGCTCTATCAGCAATTAAATATGTCATTTAGTATTTCACCTGATTAAAGAGGCCAATTACAATTTAAACTTAAACTTTTGCCTAATCTATCTTCATGTTAGGCTAGGCTATCTTCTACTGTTAAAAAAAATATGTTGGATATTGTAATGCAAAACCTTACTACATACAATCATTAGTTATGGAGAAAACAGCATTCTCTCCATAGTGGACAGTGCAATTCCATAGGGAAAAATTATATTGAGACAATACATAATTGTACATAGTTACAACACTGTACTTACTCTGCTGATGCAATATTATGATTATTTAATACCTGCACTGCTTGTGCTTATTTAATAACTGCACTGCTTGAGCACTTCCGGCATAGGTAGACATTCTAAACAATTGTATTTAAAATTAAATTCCCCTTACCTGTTTACCCACAACCTAAAGCTGTTTTTGAAACTTTACATTGAATATGAGATTATACATTGAACAATGTTTTAAGCACATATCCAGCTAAATCAAATAAAATATTCCAAGACAAATTCCCTTTTGTCACAGCTGGTGGCTTAAATGGCATTTACTCATTCATCTGCTGTAAACATATATAAGCATGGGTTACACCTTTTTAATATCGCACACCAATTTTCCAGTTCCTTAATCACCATGACATTAATTCCTCACCCTTGCGTAATCTATTTTTATAATCTCATGTTATCTTATGCTGGCTCATGTTTGAAGTAAAGATGTGTTTTTGATTGCATAAGATGACCAAACAAAGGCTATTTAATAACCAAAATTGTGTCTAGATATTTTTCTCAAAACAGTTAATTCACTTAACGCACCTTAATGTTAATTCCTGACGTTTGTCTTCATCTGTTCAGTCTCTGTGTTACAAATTCTCGGTACATGATAGATATATATACGAGTAGCAGAAACACCACAAAAAAATCATCTAAAAATCCTAATATTCCAAACAAAGCTTCGGGTAGAAAATCCAACGGTGATGCAAGATATAACAAAGCCCCCAGGAGACAAAGGAATATTCTGATGCGGAACATCCAGAAGAGACCACCGACAGAAAACATTTCTCTGAACGCATGACGCAATAACGTAGGTAAATCCATAATCCTTTCCATAATCTAAACAAGACATACATAGTCAAAATTTGTTTGTCTTATGTGCAAGATGTAATTTGCCACAGGAGCATTTAACAGATCAGAGCTGAGGCTTTTAATGTGCAATCAAATTGGATCACTTTAGGGGCAGAGGTGAGGAACTATGGTCCCTTTATGAGTTATGGACTTCAACTGCCAGAATTCCTGAGCCAACATGGCTGGCTTAGGAATTCTGGGAGTTGAAGTCCACAAGTCATAAAATGGACACAGTTTCCCACCCATGCTTTAGAGAGAGCTAAATTTCTTTCCCCAGGACCTTTAACTGAATTATCTATAGTGGTCAATAATAACCCAACCTCAATAAAAAAAATGCATGGAAACTCTTAATAAAAGACATGCAAAGTTAGACAAGCTAATAAAACCAGCAAAACATAGAAATAACATGGTTGTGCAAAATCTTCTGAGGAGAGCTTTAGTCACAGGAAGTCTCCCACAAAGCCATTCCTTGAAGTATCAAGGTAGTCACATCCTTCTTCCCAAAGCTTTGAGCTGATTATTTAAGATTGTCTCTCCATGCATGTACATGCAGAAAATGCTTCTGCTAGGACCACTATCAAGGAGACTTACTCACCTTCATACTTCAAGGTAGCATATTCATATGAATATAGAATATGCAAAGCATATTGTCATTTTATTGGATTAGGAATATTTATTTCTAATGATTTTAATGTTCTTATAATGAAAGACGCCCAGAGTTTGCTTCAAAACGAGATGGGAGGCAAATTAATTTAATTAATAAACTAATAAAAAATAAATTTGGTGTAAACAGTGCCTCCACAAATGATCTGCACAGCTTCATTAAATAAGAAAGACTGGCATCATAATTGTTCAATATCAGAGGGAGCTTGCCTGACAGTAGCTTGTCAAAGGTTCCCTAACGAATTCATGGACTGCATGAGATTTGGACTAGAGATCATTTTGCTCATAGCTCTCTCTTCTAACTACGTTAGTAGTTTTTGAGCAAACCTGCTTGGCAATGCAGGTTGCACATTGCTACAAAAACCTATGAGTAAAGAACAAGTGAAACCACTGGTCACATCTCCGTGATATAAATTATTATAATATGGATAGTATTACCCAGGAAGAGATATTGTATGGTTAAAACATTGTATTGCTGAGATAGCAGAAAGGCAAAATTGCTAAAGTTTTGGGGGGGGAGTTAAAAATTATTCTGCTAGACTTCCTTAGATTTCAGAAGTTTGTATTTTTCTAGCAAAGCTCATATTTTTAATCCTAACTGCATACTAAGAATGTTGCTACTCATGGTGATTCTTTATCTTATTTATGGTTCCACAAATCTATCTGATTTACTTAAAACTTTTAAAGTCCCTCTTCTGAGTGACATGGGATTCTGAAAGCAAGACGAAGACTGCTCCTTCAATAATGCCGCTCTATTGCAATGTGAACTGGAGAAGGAGATGGGTACTGAAAAACATGGGCACAATTCCCATCCATTCTTTACTTCTGAGACAGAATGAGGAAGTGGCCTTTACCTTAGAAGTCAGCTAGGAAACAATAGCCATGGCTATTGTTAAAAAAAATACTGAAATTATCTTTCCACTTGCTCTTACTACCCCAGCTTCACTTCCCCAAGCTGGGAAGATAGCTTGGACTTGTCCAACTCACACAGGAAAATGCAGCATTTGTCATAATAAATAGAACACTGGGCATATTATTTTAATCGTTCTAACCCCATACATACCGATCTTGGCTGTCCCGAGAATCTCCTATTGTAATCATTAACGTCATGAAGCACCTGGGCGGCATCCTCTTGTCCCTCATCAAAGAGTGGTAAAAATAAAGTTACCTGAATTAAAAAAACAGCCATTCAATATCCTCATGCAGAATCCACCTTCCCTTTCTTACATAGTAGATATATATTTAAAAGGGTTTATGGGTAGTCCTCGTCTTACAACCATTCGTTTAGCTACTGTCTGAAGTTACAATGGCACTGAAAAAAATGGCTCACAAGCAGTTCACGGACTTATAACTACCGCAGCAACCCCATGGCCATGGGATCAAAATTCGGCCACCTGACAACTGGCATGTATTTACGATGATTGTAGCATCCTAGAGTCACGTGATCATTATCTGTGATTCTTCCCAGACTGCTTTCAACAAGCAAAGTCAATGAGGGAATTCAAACTCGCTGAGCAACTGCAGTGATTAGTTTAACTACCATGACAAAAAAGGTCATAAAATCAGGCACGGTTTACTTAACAACAGCCTTGTTAAGCAATGGAAATTCTGGTTCCCAGTTGAGGATTACTTGTATATTTAAGAGTAATTTGTCAAGCAAAAAGTTTTGGGAAGAATGCAGAGGTATTCCTGCCAGGTCTTTCTTACAATCTATAGCATATTATTAGGATCACAGAAATTCAGGTGGTTACTTATTACACTTCAAAACTATTTTAACAACTGTGATGTTCAGAAAGGAATAGAAATAGATTAAGAAAGTATAAGGAAATAACTAGAGAGGCTAAAACGCAGAATAAAAACATAAAAACATACAGAGGGAGTGCATTTAATGGACACAATTTCCAAAGATCTGGAGAAGAGAAATAAGGATTTTTAAAAAACCAAGAGACCAAAATACAAAGTAAGCCTGGTGGATATTTCATTCTTGCGATAACTTGAGAAAAGGCCTCAGGTGGTAATCTTACAGTCTAAGCAAATAAACGTGAAAGGTGATCCAGTGGTTAATCTGACCCCAAACCACTTAAGACATTAAAAAGTAAAAATGGACTGGCAACAGTGCAGATGATAAAATATTGACATATTACGGCAATGCTTGTTAGACCTATATCAGGGGTACGCAACCTTGGCTCTTTTATGACTTGTGGACTTCAACTCCCAGAATTCCTGAGCCAGCATAGTTGAAGTCCACAAATCATAAAAGAGCCAAGGTTGCCTACCCCTGACCTATACGAAATTCCAGTTGCCTTATTTTGAATTCGGAACTTTCTCAACCATTTTGAAGTCCTCTATATAAATTGGAGTAATCCAAATGAGATTTGAAAACCTACACATCTGTTCTGTGTTGAAGCACTTGCCAAATTAGTGTTCAGTAAAAAGTTCAGAAAGTCAGGAAACTAAGCACTCTATAAACTTTTATCTGAATAGTTGCAGGAAGGAAGATTAAAGGAAGATTATTTCTTATCTGCGGGAACATTACAGATATTTGATAGTAATGTGTAACTACTTTAACTCTAATCCATGAAAATGTTTCTCTCAAGTAATCTATGTTGGTGCTATGGAATGTTTAGTTATTTTTCTATAAAATGTACCTTACTTTTATCTTGTGAAATTCGTAATATAAAATCCTGCTTTAGATTCTACAGAAAATGTTATTATACTCTAGATTGTATCATTCTTTAAATATATTAAAAGCCAATGTTAAAGATGACAAGGAAAGCAAAAGACATAGTACACCAAATGTATTTAAAATCACAGTTTAAAAAAAAGCTTAGGAGCTAAACTTCCTAAGTTTCCATTTATACTTAGAATAAAGCATAAAACAACATTTATAATATTAAGAGCTAGAATTTTACATCAAAATATTCATATTATTACCGTTTGTCTGCAGATAGGGCAGTGTATCGCACCTAGCCATGATCCGCATCTCCAATACGCAATAATGCAGGAACCTAAAGAAAATAACGTATTAATTTCTTAAAACTCTAAATACAAGTAGTCCTTGATCTACAACCATTTGTTTAGTGACTGTTTGAAGTTACAAGGGTACTGAAAAAAATGACTTATAACCATTTTTCACACTTACAACTGTTGCAGTGGTCCCGTGGTGATGTGATCAAAATTTGGATGCTTAGCAACTAGCGTGTATTTATGACGGTCGCAGAGTCCTGGGGTCCTGTGATCACCTTTTGTGACGTTCCAACAAGTGAAATCAATGGGGAAGCCAAATTCACCTGACAATCCTGTTACTAACTTAACTTCCGTTACATTCACTTAACAACAGTGGCAAGAAACAACATAACAACTGTTTTGCTTATCAACAGAAAATTTCGGCTCAATTATGGTTGTAAGTTGAGGAGTACCTGTACCTGAATGTGAGTCAGTACCTCACTTAAAAACAAACAGAGGTTCACTGATAAATTAGTAAAAAATTATTTGCCAGTTTAAGACACTGAATCTCAGAAGAAAGGACTGCTTATGAACATCACTGAAATATGCATTATATGAATTCTTTGCCCAAATACTAGCAATCCCTGTATCAGTTAATGAAACTTGCATTATACGAGTTGCTGCAAATCTAGTCCAAAGAAATAGAACTTAAAGGTATAAATCAGGCATGTCAAACTCGCAACTTTTTCTGGTTTTCCAGTTTTGTCGTGATGCATCCAGCCTGTAGGCCGGCAGTTTGACATGCCTGGTATAAATGGACAAAAAAATGCCATGTAATAGCCATCCACTTTATACATTTTAAAAGTCATGACTGACTGACTGACTGATATACAGTATATAAAACATGTAACAGCAGGAGAAGATCAGCTGAAATAATTAAAATAGAATTTTTCACTTCTTTATGGCCAATCCATTTCCAAAAACAGCATTATTTTGCATATTTCCTCAGCAACTCTTCCCATTTCTAGGAATGTAAGAAATTATTCAGATTTTATTTTTATTTTTGCATACCACAGAAAAGATGTCCACAATTTGTTTCAATGGGAAATGTAGCCTGTTGTAAACACACTGGGCAGGACAAATCAGTATAGAAATGTTGCCTGTCACCAACTATATTTTCCTGGGGGGAAAAAAGAGAGAGATATAATTAATTCAAGCAGAACAAATTATTTTATTTGTAACAAGCTGCAAAATAGTTAGATTGGCATAATTACAAGAAAGAAATCTCAGACTGGTATGCTTTCTTTGATAAATAATAAAGGAAGGAAGAAATAAGATCATACAATAGTACGCCACAGATACAGGACAGCTCATTCTCAACAAATATTTGGATAAGATAAAATCTCATTTTGAAATTTCTTAGAACTTTTCTGTTTGGATTGCTCTTTGATGGCCATGATTAAGAGGGAGATAACAGGGTTTATTTATAATTCTTATCTGTTTCAACTCAGAATAGCTGCAGCATACTTTTATAACAAAAAAGATCCAAGCTTTCAAATTGTGGTTAAAGTTTTAGGTCCCTACGGAGTCCCTAAAGCTTTGCTTCTTTAATAAACATTTTAAATATATATTCCTGAAAATCCACATCAACATCTAATTTTGAAATTATATAATCAAGTTTATTTTTAGGAAAAAGAACTACGGTATCCAAACCCTATCAAGCTCAAATGTTTCTATATTTGGCGATTGCCTGAGAAATGTTCTGAGATATAATTGATATATATTAAAAAGAATTGTGCATAAATGTATATCTACCTGTTCCGACTGTATTTGTTGTCTAACTGCCCTCACTAGCTCTTGGTTTTCTGGATGAATATCAGATTGCCCATCTCTGTTAAGAGAAGAAATACTATTAATAAAACATTCAAAAATGGAATCAGACAGAACAATATAAATTCATCGTGTTTAGAATTCTAAGGGTCTCTAATCTTTGCATGCTGTTATTTTAAGAGCTGCTACATTTATCTGAACTATAGAATGAAATCTCCAAAGATAATATTAATCAAGGTGTAAAATAAATATACTAAAACATTAAAAGTGTTTAATAACCTTTTGTGCTTAAGATAAAAGTGACAATGCCTTATTTTTCCTTTGCATAACGAAATCCTTGGCTGAGCATGCTTTTCATTGTATTTCATCACTGATCATATAAATATCATTTGGAGGCAAACATGCAGATCCAACTTTAAAAGCTACAACATCCACAATAAAACAAGTAAAGAAATCCCACACATGAGAGGAGCCTCATAATTCTATTCAATATTCTGAACTGGTTAATTTAAGAATTAGTCAGCATAGTAACTATGTGATTCAAATCTGAGTTCTGTTTAAGCTTTACATTATAGTAATACTTTCTCTACTTTCTTTCCAATTTCTTTTAATTATATTGCATACGATTAGAATCTACATGTGGGGCTGGGAGGTTAATCAAAATTTATTTTAAATAGCCTCTATGATAAGTAAGATGAAAAGAAAGCAGTCTAACTTCAATGAACATTACAGCTTGTTTGAACCAAATCTCACCAACTTGAAAGCATATTGATCAGCAGATCGCTTCTGGATGTTGCCCCCAGAATGTGTAACCAATTACCTAAACTACTATTCCAAATAATTTAATTTACAAGAAATGAGTAAAATTGACATACTTCAACAACAGCAAAATCTTGTAGTGCTATCAACATTGTACTTCGTCTTACCTTAATAGCATGTATGTCAGTGCAACTAGGAATGTGATGCTAAGCACTATCGCCAGCAAAACCTGGTCACTTATTCCTTCTATCATCGAATCGCTATCTAGTACCAGTCTTTGAACTTCAGATTCCTGGCTGGCCATTCCATTCTGATTTCCTGGACTATCACAGTCCAGTGGGAAGTAGGAATAAGATGTCCTTGAATGAAAATGATCCCAGAAAGTAGAAAGGGAAAGTCACAGATGCATAATAAGACAAATATATATTAGACATGTACTAAAGGCAGATTCCACTCCCAAGATTTGTATTTTAAAACAAGAACATTCTGGGTTTCAGTTTGATGAGAAAGTGCACATAGCACTAATGATGGCACTATTATTATGACATTATGAAATATAATGTCCTTGGCTTGCTAACAGATTAATGGTTTTATATTTTTCAGGATGTTAAATGGGTTATTGCTTTATTTTCTTATAAGTTGTGAATTTATTATTGCACTGGTGATATTTTTATTTTTAAAGGTGTTTAGATTCCAATGACTAAAAGTACTTCCAATAAATAATAATCAAATAACTGAATAACCTAAAGCTAGGCAGTGAGAAAACATGCAGTATACTTAAATAGGGATAAGTAGCAGTAATATATGTTTGCCTCAAAATATATACAAAGTGTATTTTCTTCCAAACAGCCCAACAAGACCATGATACATTGATACATTTTAAGATGAGATTGTACTTAGATTTTGATGGATTATATTTTACACAGATTAAAATCTCAATTTCTAGAAATTAAGAACCAGTGGAATCTTCTTTCTGGTAAACTAAACCAGAGTTAACACGTTCTGGGTTTCCTCTCCACATTTCAAGTCTCCACAAGTTAAAAAAGACTTTTTTAAAAAGCAGCTCTTCCTTGGAAGCTGATCCAAGCTGTCCTCACCTATTCTTAAGAGATTTTTCAATACAAGAGTTTGACCCTGGAGTATGGAAATTAAAATCGATGAACAGAACGACTCTTCTCTACCATTAAGCAATAGCAATTTCCTGTCTGTCTATGCTTAGAATTTAATGTGCTGTTAATTACACGAAAAAGCCACCCCTACTTTGACTCTATCAGTCTTTAGCTAAAAAGCCAAATGACTCGCATAGTTCAAAAACAGTCACCAAAATGTGGATATTCATTTTGATGCATTTTTTTCAAAGAAGTGCAGTAGAATGATGCAATAAAAATATGTAATTAAAAGAACAGGAGAAGAATCAACCAACTAGTCTTGCCCAAACTATTATTGCTCTCTATTTCTGCAATCTTCCACCGTGCTTCAATCTGTCTTCCTCTAATCTCCAGAATATGTGCAACTGTAAAACTATCTGACAGCACTGAGACCTTAAGGTTAAAGAAAAGACAAAATAGCATTTAGATAAAAAGCCAATTCATGCAGAGATTAATATGTAACTTCTCAGAAAGCCTCTGTGCAAATGCCAAAAAGGGAAATCCTTGCTTTAATACAATGATATTTTTAGATCAAATGCCCACTCTTTTTACCTCAGCTGGAAATGAGAAGACTCATCACTGTGTCATCTTCAGAATCAAACGAAATGTTTCAGATGCTGGAGTTTGAAACCTCTGAATTCTGCCTTGGGAAAAAGAGATATTTTGAGGCTATTTCTTAACTTCTTATTTTAGCATAGCATTTATCCTACATTAACTCATTTCCAGAAACAGAGATATAAAGAAATCTATCTTCACATGGAATAAAACATGAGGGTGTAAAAATATCAAGAGAAGAAATTATATATCACATCTATTCACAAATAAGACAGGAATGAAATAAAGGTAGTCCTCAACTTACGACAATTGAGCCCAAAATTTCTCTTGTTAAGTGAGACATTTGTTAAGTGAGTTTTGCCTCATTTTATGACCTTTCCACAGTTGTTAAGTGAATCCCTGCAGCTGATAAGTCAATAACCCGATTGTTAAATGAATCTGGCTTCCCCATTGACTTTGCTTGTCAGAAGGTCGCAAAAGATGATTGCATGACTCTGGGACTCAGCAATGGTCATAAATATGATCACACGATCATGGGGATGCTGCAAAGATTGTAACTGCGAAAAACAGTCATAAGTCACATTTTTCAATGCCATTGTAACTTTGAATGGTCACTAAATGAACTGTTATAAGACGAGGACTACCTGTAGTGAAAAGTACTAAAATGAAGTTTAATTAATTTGGGGGAAAAAATAGAACTTTAAAATATGTAGTTGAATTCCTGTTCTCATGATTACAACAATATAGTAGCTATACAGCCTGCTCCCATTTGAATCTTTAACCTTCATCCAATCTATTTTGAAATAGATTTGCGCTAATGTGCAGTTCTTGAATCCCTGAACTGGTAGATATAAATATGCTGGCATAAAAATGTGCTGGCCTGACAACAAGACCAGCCAATTGTGCTCTCATTACAGTTTTATTGCGAGAGTTGAGCTAGGGAAAGTGATTGGTGCATTCCTTTGATTTTGCTTCTGCTTCCATGAAGCCTCACACACTGGCAGACATGATAACCTTCTTTTGCTGTCTCTAATATAGATCAGAAATGGGGGAACAGATACATTTTCACAAATGATTACATCTTTCCATGCATCTGAAAATAGGCTTTCTGCACTGAAAAACCTTCCTGCAATCCTCATAGATATTAGTAAAGGTATGTAACAAGTAGTCCTCAACTTACAACCATAATTGAGCCCAAAATTTCTATTGTCAAGTAAGACATTTGTTAAGTGAATTTTGCCCCATTTTACGACCTTCCTTGCATCAGTTGTTAAGTGAATTACTGCAGTAGATAAGTTAGTAACCTATCTGCTAAGTGAATCTGACTTCCCCATTGACTCTGCTTGCCAAAAGGTTGCAAAAGGGGATCGCATGACCTTGGGACACAGCAACGGTCGTAAGTATGAACCAGTTGCCAAGCATCTGAATTTTGATCACATGATCATGGGGATGCTGGAAAGCTCGTACTGTGAAAAACGATCATAAGTCACTTTTTACAGTGCCGTTGTAACTTTGAATGGTCACTAAATGAATTGTTGTAAGTCGAGGACTAGGTGTACTCTAGTTACAAAAAAATAAAAATCTGCCTTTGCTTTATTATGGTACTCTAAGAATGAATGGACAATAGTGATTTTGATTAGACAACATTTCCCACAACCTAAGTCAACAAATTTAGGACCCCCATATTTTAAACTGTATATAAAATATGAGACACTGGATGTTCTGCTCCATACTTCATGGCTTACAGTGGAACTATTCTATAGGTAGAATAGAAACTATTTTATCACAAGTCTGTCACACATAAATATAACCATGTTAGTATTCTAGCAGTACGTGAAAACTCTACATTAAAGCACCTGTCCTATCTTTCTTGTTATTGAACCAGGAATTTTTTTTTAAAAAAAATCAAAAGACATAAATAATAAATCATGTTCATATTGTTGCTAAGAAAATTATTTGGGTATCTCCATGTAATTATCAGTTGAATTCAAATCAAGGTCTTACCAGAAGTAAGGCTGAGAGCTAAATAAAATTAAGTAGAGGACCACATTGGCATCACCCCCATCTCATTCCCACTAGAAGTCATCATGATCATGCTCTGTTGTTCCCATACCTGGACCTGAAACCTGAATGGAAAGGGTCCAGATAATCTACCTACAACACGACCCTCTGAAGCTACAGCCTTTTCTAAAAAGTTGGCGATAGAATGAAACACTTGATCCATTGATGGCTTCTTGAGAAAGGAGACTACCACATCTCTCAGTGATAAATGCAGCACCGCCTGGACTCAGCTACATATCATTATCCAGGAAGATTAACTAACTAGGAGGTATATGGAGCTAATATACAGGGGCTGAGATAATAGCACTGAGAACCCTGTCCACTTCCTCAGAACTAAACAAAATCACACTTATTCCAGATAACAGAGCCAGAGTGTCCTATCAATTTTGCAGGATCTGCTGGTGCATATCTGGCTCTGTTCTTCCAAGGAGGCACTAAGTCATTTTGAACAGAGTCACCAGCCAACAATCTGAAGATGCTGTATGGGTAGAAAAATAACTATGTTTTGTTGCCATTTATAAGGCGGCCCTTATGGGTAAGATTCCAAAATTAAAAAAAAAAGATTATTTTCCTTTAAAGAAACTTAAAACTTCTCTAGAATAGTTAAAGTACAATATTCTATAATTATTTTATTCTTTGGTGTTGGTGCTTGACACTTAAAAGTTTACTGCCATTCACCCCGAGTAAACTATAATAAGCCAGTTTGAAAGGAAAACTGCCATGGAAATGGTGAGAACTATTGCAGCAATGCCAAAATTCCAAAAAATTCTGTAATGTCTTAAGGGAAATTAATTATGAGATACGTTTTTTTCTGTGGAGTTTACTTTGATACATTAAACTATCGAAAAAATGTAGTTGCAATTTTTGTAGCTGAGGATTAAACCTGTCAATATCCCAAACCTAAGAACACCAATGAACCCAGAGTCATCCTACCATTCCATATCTATTCACAGGTACTATTTATTCTGGCTAACTGAAGAGCTTCCATTATTACAGTATGTTTACAAAATGTTCGCACTCTAACATACATCACTTTGACTTCAAAAAGAGAACACAAAGAAATAACACTTGGCTATCTTGATGTTGTGAATCTGCTAACACAATAAGCCCCATCCTCACTTCTGTAGAAAAAAAATGCAAAAAAAATCCAATTAGTTTTCTTTCTTCATGGACTGCAACTTGATTTTTTTTTCATTGCAATTTCTTTTACTAAAATGGCTTTTGCCTAGGTGAAGCAGCTACCATCTACATAAAATTAGCTTTAAAAATTAGCAGAGTGTTTCTCAATCTTAGCAATTTTTAAGATGTGTGGACTTCAACTCCCAAAATTCCCCAGCCAGCATGCTGGCTAAAGAATTCTGCCAGTTGAAGCCAAAACACTGGATTGGCGTAAGAAAAACGTAGAAAAATCATATATATTTATGTATGGAAATGAAAGTCAACCTCTTGAGGTAGAGCAGGGCACACAACTTAATTACACAAAGTTGCAGGCGGAAGTCCCCAGGCTCAAAACTCCTGCATTTCCAGACACACTTTGCAGTAGCCAAGGAGTTACACTAAAGAATGAATATACCAGGACTGCGTTCACCCGATATACTTATTTCTGATTTAAGTTAATCACTGCGTATGGAGTTAACCCATTTTTCTGGTTTCCGTCTGTATTACTGTAACCGTGCAAGCCTGGTTTTGTACAAACCTAAGGAAAATACACAGATCATATTCCCCTTTCAAGTCGGAGTTCTCCCCAAACCTTAACCAAAGGAGCATTTCCCATCCCCAGCTATTGTTACAACCCTCCAGACAGTTTAGATTCTACTATTAGACTTTAGGAATAGCCTTCCACCCTGCACGCGGGGCCGATATCACGACCGCTCTTCTTCCTGGGCTTGAAGTTACTTCGGATAACTATTTGGGGGGGAAAAAAGGGGGGGGCGGAAAGGGAACCCCAAGGTAGCCCCCTCCCCCGCCGATACCGCGCGGGCTTCCCTTAAGACCCATCTTCGCAACTTGGTCATTTCTGCAAACGGGCGGGACTTCGCAGGCAGCTTTCTGCAAGGAGGAGAACCGAGAGGAAACCTGCGGGCAGGGAAAGCCGAATTTGAATACGCTGCAGAAAAACCGCGGCTCCAGCGGCGGACACGCAACGAGGGCAGCTACCCGTGGGTCAACCCTCGGTATAGGCTCCTGCCCCCCCCCCACAGCCTGAGTACCTCAGTCCCCGACGGGCACCCGCGAAGGCCTGTCGGCCCCCAGCAGAGACAGCGACGCGCTCCAGCCAACCCGGCTTCGCTCCGCCCCCTTCGCCCTCAGCGTGACTGGGCCGAGCCAGCGCTTTTTTTTTTTTTCCTTTCCCGACGCGCGCATGCGCGGTGCGGGCCGGAGCCGAACGGAGCGGGCGGATCCCGAAGGGACCTCGGTGACGTGTCTGCGTTACAGCTGCCCTGCCCGGCCCGGCGCGGCTGTGTGCCGGCCTGGGTTGGGGGGGAGAAGAAAGAAACGCGACGGCGACAAGGCGGAGGTGTCACCGGAAGGCGCCTGTTAAAAGCTCGGCTGCCCACCGCTGGAAGGGGGAATCCCGCCGCCCGCCCGCCCACCCGCCCTGAACCATGTTCAACGTCGAGAGTCTGGAGCGGGCCGAGCTCGGGGAGAGCTTGCTCACTTGGGTGAGTGACGAAAGGCCCCGGCTGAGCAATGCCGCCGTTGTCGCCTGCAGCTCCACCAGCCCGGTCCGATCCGGCCCGGCCTTGCGTGCCTTTCCCCCCCCCCCCCGCCTCGAAGTAGCCGGGCGTAGTTGTTGTCTTTCCGAAGTTGTGCTTTAAAAAATGTTTGCCTGAAATGCAGGATGTGTGTGTGTGCGTGTGAATGTCAGACACGGAACGTTAACGTTGGCCCGAGAATCAGGGTGGGGGCTGCAGAGGGTTCTCATGGAAGGTCTCTACCAGGGGCCGGTTGTGTTGCATTGTAGGAGAGAAAGACTCCACGTAGCTGTCTTTTTGTTCTTGGCGGCGCCGGGAGGGCTGCTTTACCGAGCTAAACTAAAATAGCTGTCCTTTCATCCCTTCATTTTATTCCCCTCTCTGCCTTCCTTGAAATGCATTTCATGCCTTTAAATGCTGTAGGGACTTTCTTCCTCCGTTGTTTGTAAAAAGTTGACTGTTTGGGCTAGTTCACTGCTGGACAGTCCTGGAAAGAAAGGACAGAGATAGCAACAGCAATAGCACTTATACACCGCTTCACGGGGCTTTATAGCCCTCTCTAAGCGGTTTACAGAGTCAGCCTATTGCCCCCCAAACAATCTGGGTCCTCGTTTTACTGACTTCTGAAGGATGAAAGGCTGAGTCAATCCTGAGATGCTTGTTATTTAAGACTGTTGCTCTTTGGGCACAAAGGATCAATATTTTTATGCCTCCCGAGATTATGTCGAATCTTTGAAATAGTGGTGAATATCTGTATTCGAATATTATTTAGAATCTGGCCAGCCAAGAATATTAAAATGTTATCTAGTTGGTATATCCATACTTAATTTGCTGTCTCCCTCAAGCTGGCCATAGTGGGTTTGTTACCACATCCTGTTGTGATTGCATCCTGGATTGGTCTCCTGCATTCCTTTCATGTATAGGTATTGCGCTGATATTTCTAGTGGGAAAGAGGAGTTATTTCTACAGGACTGCTTGTTTGTTGATGTACGAAGATGCAGTTTTATATTGAAGATGTATTGGGTGTTTCTCTGTATGTTGTAAGGTACCATGGAAAGAGAAGATGAGTCCCAACATGCATAATATTTCAGTGTTGTATCCAAACCAGTCTGTGCGCATTCAGCTAGGTGTGTGGGCATTCAAAATGTTTACATTCTTGCCACACATGAATCCATATTAAAAATGCAGTTATTTGTGATTGTCCTAATCCTCCCAAAAGAAGCGTTAGGGCTCTTTCACAAAGAAAATATTCCATCACTTCAGTTTAGCACACTGGAGTATAAATTGGTAGAGCAAGCGAGACTGCATAATTGACTGCCATTTGCAAATCTATCTTAAAAGGTTAAATCATGGCAACTGGACAGAAGCTTATTAAAAACTGAGACATTTCATTACTCATCCAAGTAACTTCTTCAATGAAAATGAAAATTTGGCTAGACAGAGAGTCAGTCATTGGAAAAAACCAGCTCCTGCCATACAGACTGCTGGGAGTTTCTCCCCAAAATGAAAAACTTTAATAAACTTTGGTCCAGTTGCCATGATTTAACCTTTTAAGATACTTTTGGCCTGGATGATTGAATCTTCATTTACATGCCATTTGCAAATTTAAGCATGATCTGTTCTTGATTAAATTTATGAAGAAAAACATATTTTTAGAAATAGACACTCTTCAGATTTCATCTGGACTTTAATAAAAATTTATACACAAACTACAGAGAGGGTGGGTAAGGAGGAATGAAAGTAATATACTGTGATGTTGCAAGCCCCATTTCTTTTGTATTTGTATATATGAAAGAGGAGAGCTTACATTCCAACCACACGATGCTGCATTCATTATGTTGACAAAAGCATCAAATGCTTCTGGAAGTGGACAATTCAGTATTGAAGCATTATTGATTTAAAATATTCATAGGAATGCCTTCTCCTGGATTCTCTCATTAATTACTCCATAGTACTTTATTTCATGTGGCATGAAACATTACTAATTATTTTATAATTAATTATATGAGGTTATAGGCATTGGGGGCAGTATTTCTCAAAGTGCAGTCTGAGAACTCCTTGGGTCCCCAAGACCATCTTAAGGGTCTGCAAGATCAACAACTATGTTGAAAAATGATGTAGTAAAAATCCCATCAAACAATTGTGAAAAGCTGTAGTAGCAGCAAATGTATCAATGATAATTTTTAATACAGTAAATATAGATAAATATAACCTAAACAAACAAAAGATTTTTGGAATCCACCACAATTCTTAAAAGTGGGGAGGGGTCCCGAGAGAAAAAAGTTTATAAAACATTGAGAGGGTACATAGTTTAGAATATAATTCACTAAATTATTTTAGAATTTCTCCAATGACTTTTGTTAGTTTTTATTGGAAAATAAATTAGTAATAATTTTATTGGTAAACAAAGGAGACTGAAAACTGCTTTCTTATGTGCTTACTTATGTGACTGCTTATGCTGCTGCCAATTGTAGTCACCAGGAGTAATCTTCAAGGGCAGCCCCATGTAGAGTGCATTGCAGTAATCCAATTAAGAGATGATCAAGGCACGAGTCACTGTCTGAAAGGCCTCTTGATTGAGGCAAGGGCGCAACTGGTGCACAAAATGAACCTGTGCAAAGGCCCTCCTGGTCATTGCTGCCAGCAGCTCTAAGCCATAGCTGTGAAGCCAGAAGGACCCCCAAGTTGCACACCAGTCTTAACATCCACAACCCAGGGGATCCAAACAGCCACAGCCAATCAGTTTTGTAGGATTCAGCCAAAGTCTGTTCTGTCCTGTCTAGACCCGAACAGCTTCCAAGGTCTGGTCAATATATTGACAGCTTCACAGGATGAAGATGTAATGTTGGGTTTCATCAGCATAGGAATAATCACTTTGAACTAGCAGATGAACACCCAGTGATTTCATGGAGATTTCATGAACAGGAGAGAGTAGAGGGTAGACATACCCCACACATGAGGCACTGTTGACAGCTCTTCCCCCCACTGCAAATACTAACTGGAAATGACTGCTAAGGAAGGAGGTGAATCACTGAAGCATTGTGCCTCCCATTGCTAAATCCTGTAGCTGGACTAAAAGGAGTCAACAATATTCAGTACTGAAAACTGCTGGGAGATCAAGGAACACTAGATGGAAGCTCCCTCCCCATCCCAGCTTTTTGAAATCTGCCCTGAAAGTCAGCCTTTGTAGATAAAATTTCACCTGTCTCTCTTATGGGCCACTGTTTTTTTTTCCTGTTTCTTAAAACTAAAAATTTTGAGAAGAAAACAATGAAGCTAGTAATTATTAAATAAACCTGCTTATAATTTAATTAAAATAAAATATTACTACATTATAGATATGGTGAAAATACTATTAAACTTTTTCATTCTACTTTATATAGTGAGAGCCAACTGTTATCACATTTCTTATGTCTGTGGAGATTCTCAATCATCCAGGTCATAGTGATCCCAAAGGTGCTTTTTCACAAGGCAACTGGATTTTCCTGTTTTTCTTTGAAGACGTTTCACTTCTCACCAGCTGTCTGCAAGGAGTATAAATCCTTCCATTCCCCACCATTCAGGCAGAGCTGAAGAAGCTTCTTGGATGAGAAGCGAAATGTCTTCAAAGAAAAACAAGAAAGTCCAGTCGCCTCGTGAAAAAGCACCTTTGAGACAACTTTCTTATGATTCCTCTGAAGAGCTTAATTCAGACACCAAAACATTCCTCGGGTTCCACTACAGCTTTAACCATTATTATGAATGGACTCTTTGGTTATCCAGGTTTGGAAAAAGGTATGTAATGTAAATTCTGCAGTGAAGCCAAACATTCAAATAAATCAGATTTTTCAAGTACTTCCCTATAATAGCCTAGAAATTTCATAAAGTTGTCATGTGTAAAATCAATCAATTATTTTGATTGGTTTTGATATTGCTCATGAAAGGGATTGCTAATATGAAATAATGTATAATAGGTAATCATCACAAATTCTCAGGCAATATTGTTATAATGTATCATTATTTGACCCAGAATTGAAATCTTACATAGTTGGGCACTGTAATAAATTTAACTGTAGCATAATGTTTGGAAGATATTTTCAGATTTCTCTTGTGGTTATGTATATTAATTTTAACTGCAGAAATTGTATTATGTTTAAAAACATATCCAAGAGAGGAGGATAAAAATTAAAATATCGAGAAAATCCATGTTGATTTCTAAATGGTTTAGCAAAAATATAAAAAAATAATTTACAGTAGCATACAGTATGTAATATAAAAAATAACATCATGCAGAAATAATTTGCTGGTAGCAATTAAAATTCAAAAAAATGGTCTGATCAATATATTTCTAAACTTGAGCTATTTATTTTTGTCATGTCCTTTAATCTTCAAATACAGTTCAGAACTCAATGGTTTAAAATATTTTTTATTATTTTACTGATACACTTGTGTTTGGCATTATGGCCTGGGACACAAAAAAGCAGATACACAGATTTAACATTATCTGCAACCTTTTGTGCATTCTTTTTCATACAGTAGTACTTTTGCAGTGAAACAGTATACTTTTGAAAGTTGACTTTTAACATGGTAACAGCCTAAGAGAGCCAT